ATGAAAAATCTCGAATATACTTCTTAAAATTTTACTTGCTCTTAATAACTTTAATTTTTGACTCAATTAAGTTTTAATTCTTTTATTATAAAGGTACATTTTTAATTTTTTACTTAAAATTTATTTTTATTGGGGGCATTTCCCTTTTTCTTGATGGGGTCGTAACTAACTTTTTTAAAAAATTGGGGTACTATTTAGAAAAAGTTCAAAATTCATTGGGGGAAACTGTTGTAGAAAGGTTAATTTCATTGATTGAGTATGTGGGAGTAATGTCTATATATACACAAGGATTCCTAATCCTATATAAGGTAGGAGACAATAATAGGAAACAATATATACATTAAATATAGAATATATATTTAATATGCTCCCGGCTACGTCGGATGAGGAGGGGGTCTGATACCCAGACTGGACTTAAACTCGAAGAAGAGTAGCGAGGGTAGTCCTTTGGTGAAGATGTCAGCAAACTGTGAGGAAGAGGGAACGTGAAGGACTCTGATGTTGCTGAGTGCTACTTTGTCACACACAAAGTGGATGTCGACTTCAACGTGCTTGGTGCGCTGGTGCTGAACCGGGTTCGATGAGAGATAGACAGCGCTGATGTTGTCACAGAAGATGAGGGTGGTGCGCCATAGTGGTTGCTGGAGCTCAAGAAGAAGATTTCGGACCCAGGATGTCTCAGCAACTGCATTTGCCACAGCCCGATATTCTGCCTCTGCACTGGAGCGGGAGGTGGTGGCTTGGCGCTTCGAGGACAATGAAATCAGGTTGTCTCCCAGAAAAATACAGTACCCGGAAGTAGAACTTCAGGTGTCAGGACAGCCAGCCCAATCAGCATCAGAATAAGCTTGGAGATAGTCTGTCGAGGAACGAGTCAGGTAGATGTCGTGAGTGGCGGTGCCGCTAAGATATCGGAGAATGCGCTTCATGGCCGTGAGGTGAGAGTCGCGGGGTGCATGAAGGTGGAGGCAAAGCTGCTGAACGGCATAAGTGATATCAGGTCGAGTGAATGTGAGATACTGTAGAGCACCAACTATGGACCTGTAAAGAGAAGGATCTGAAAGTGCCGTGCCGGAGGATGAAGAAAGCTTTGCCTTTGTGTCGACTGGAGTAGATATGGGGCGACAGGAGGCCATAACTGCCCTCTCAAGGATGTCGTGAGTGAACTGTTTCTGATGAAGGAAGAGGCCCTGAGTAGTGTGATGAACATTAATGCCGAGGAAAAAGTGCAGATCACCCATGTCGGTCATGGCAAACTCAGCCTTGAGTTTCTGAATGAGACTCTGAAGAAGTCCTGGCAAAGAGGCAGTGAGGACGATATCATCAACATATAGTAAGAGGTAGGTGGTCCCCGATGCATGCGTGAAGATGAAAAGAGATGTAACAGATTTGCAACTGTGAAATCCAATAGTCTGAATGAAACCTGCAAATCTGTGATACCATGACCGGGGTGCCTGTTTCAGACCATAAAGAGCTTTCTTGAGCCGGCAAACATGATGAGGGCGATTTGCATCCTGAAATCTTGAGGGCTGGCTGGCATACACGGTTTCTTGAAGCTGTCCATGGAGGAAGGCATTTTTGACATCTAGCTGATGGATGGGCCACCCACGAGACAACGCGAGGCTAAGGACGATTCGGACCATGGCAGGCTTGATGACGGGGCTGAAAGTTTCACTGTAGTCAATGCCAAAACGCTGATTTAATCCGCGGACCACCCATCGGGCCTTATACCTGGATAACTCACCGGACGGGCCAAATTTGTGTCTAAAAAGCCATTTACCAGTGATTATGTTTTGGTTGGGGGAGGAGGGTACTAGTTCCCATGTGTCATTCTTTAACAGAGCATTATATTCATCAAACATAGCAGCATGCCAGTTTGGATCTTTCATAGCACTACGGTAAGTTGGGGGTAAGGGGGAGATGGATGTGGTGGTGTGGAGGTCCAAGATTTGTTTTGGGCAAAAAATACCGGCCTTTGAGCGGGTTTGCATGGGGTGGGCGTTGGCCGGTGGGGGAGGGGAGTG